TGAAATGTGACTACAAAAGATTAATATGGCAGTTAATTAATATCTCCAGCAGAAACAGAAGTAAAACAATGAAGAACTTAAAGGATGTAACTTTTTCAGGTGCAAGAGATCCAAGATAAGTTAAATGGGGACATTATAAGCAGTACAGAATATCAGCAGCTATTCTATGAGAAGGTGAAACTTGAGGAAACGTTGGGGTTAGTTTGCGCATCTTTTCCTAGTAGTAGAGTTTCAAATATAATGCAACACAAACTTTGAAAGTAGCTTGTGGATGTTATATAGCGTTCAATCACCAGGGCCACAGAACATGAACTCCAACAGCTTCAAACTGCATATAATGACTTAGAGACAAATGCTGCCTTGACTGAGAGGAATTTGAACTCAGAGGTAAAGTGTATGCTTTCATTATCTTCTCTTTCCTCTGTCTACTTTTTCATACCTTTACATTTGTTTCATTTGATATGTGTCAAGGAATATATATTCTGTATTTCAAAAATAGTTTTGGAGTGGATTTCTTACAGGTAGTTACTCTTTTATGAAGAGCTCAGTAATACAGTAAAGCATATAGAATTGAATTTTCATGCCTTTGGGAACATTATACTCTATGACATTCAGCCATCTTGGCTGAATGTCTTAGATATGGATATCATGTACTAGTTGGTGAGGGTGAGGTAATAGTGCATTTTTTAAAGCATAATTGTATGTCAATATTACATAATTACACACGCAGTTAGTAGATAACTTGTTAGTCCCATATAGATGTTCAAAAATTCAGATGAACCTAAGATTACTACAGTCTTTGAACCCCCTTTAAATTTCAGCTCAGAGATATGAAAGAAAAATATCAGGTTAAATCAGAAAAGCATAAGGCCACACTGGAAGAACTAACAAGATTAACAGACTACCTGAGAGACCTGCCCACCCTGGATGAGCACCAACAACTGCAACAACAGCTAGCCAGAAAATCTGCCCAATCTACACATTTGTCCAGGAAAATTGATCACCTCGCTCGTGAGTTTTATTCATATTGACAGTTCTGTTGCATAGTTTTTATAGTTAGATTATGTTACATGTAAAGATTTTATTGATTTTCATTTCAGCTAACTGAAAATATTATTTGTGTGCTTAAACATTTTTTAACTTTAGTTAATAAAAAACTTGTGCAGAATGTCTTCTGTTTTCTTCTTCTTTTCTTATCAACAACTTTGAGGATTTTAACTTGTCATAAGATTTTTTAACCAGTAAGTTTCTCATCACCCAGAGAAATTGGCTGAGTTGGCAGCAAGGGAGAGTGAACACGAGGCCAGAATTGAAGTTTTGTCTCAAGATAAAGAAGACTTGGCTCTCAAACTAGGACTAACTGAGAAGATTTTAAAGGTAGAGGAATTATAATCAAATAATGATAATAATTCAAATCAAGATTATGTTCATGTGTATCTTTATCTCATTATCCCTTTGGCACTGCTTCTATGCACTTTCCACTATGATTTTGATTTTAAAGAAGTTATTTACATTTACCCCTGCAGAATCAATTACTGGGCCTACCTGATCTCACCTGTATACCCCATTGCTTGATTTTTTTTTTTTTTTTTTTTTTTTTGAAAATATTATTATTACCCATTTTATCATTATTAACCCAATGACAACATCTTTTACTGACTTGCTGGGCACTGTGCACACTCAGCCACTCCAATGAATAATTGGAAGCATCTTGCTATTTACAGTTTTGGCTAAGGCATATATGATTTTTTAAAAAGAGAGACTTTAGAAGGCAATACCTCTTTGCAACCATACACATTGCCACACTATTGTGAAGGACTAATTAGCTCACACAATATAGAGCTTGCTCAACTGCCCATGGCATGGATATCTCTATCTGAAATATGGGCTCAGTGTCTCACATCACATTGATGCTACCCAACAGAAGTGGGTTAACATTAATATTATTATTATTACAACATAATTAACAATAATAATTGTAATTAAAGTGAGGTCAAGTAAGCCAAAAAGTCTTTTGACTCCTGAACAACTAAGAGGCTATCTGTGTGTAAACAAAATATATGAAATAATTCACAGTGGACAGTGCTATATTACAGTACTACCAGTATGTATAGTCAGAAATTTGTCATCTGGGACTAACTGAGAATTCTTTAAAGGTAGAAGAATTACATTCAAAGAATAAAAAACATTTGGTTAATATAATCATATACATGTACATCTTTATTTCATTAGCCCAAATTTGCTGGATACATGCACTTTCCACCACAATTTTGATATATTGATATTATTTACAGAATTATATACAAGCAATCCGGGCATCTTTTGGGTTAATATGTGTCCTAATAGAGCAGCACAGTTTGTAAAAGCATATATACGAATTGAATCTGTTAACTTTTTATTCTGTATTCATGACATGGTTAGAATTGTATTTTGTGTATGTAAAATGGTTCCATTACAATACAGTTGATACATCTTAATTTAAGTTCATTATGACATCTACAAGAATGTATGTTCTGTATGTCTCTGTAGGACCTGGAGAGTCAGAAAGCAGCTGCACATGAGGAGGGTCAACACAGCATGGAGGATTTACTGTGGCGACTAGACCAAGTGACAAAAGAGCTGGATAGTGCTAAAAAGGTCTGGATTATAACATTCATTTTATGTACAGTTGTGTGATACTTAAGTGCATAATTTTGTGTTTCTAGCTTCCTTTAGCCTGATTGTCTAAGTATTATATGATATAATTGAATATGCATATTTTATAGTATGTTATTAGTAAAAACCAGTGTAAAAAGGTACATGTAATACAATTTTTTTTTTTTTTTTTTTTTACTCTTAAATATCATCCACATTCTCCTATTTATCATATTGTTAAGTTCACAAGTGATGCTTTCATCACTTAGTGGAAATGTTTAATGATACTTTGATAATCAGTGATTGGTGTTGCAGAATTTATGCATAGACTTCATTCTCTTAAATTATATGTAAGCAGTTTATATTCATGTTTTTGCACCTAGCTGTATGAAAAGTTATTAAAGACAGTGGATTAGAATATAAATTTACATTATCATGGGAACATTGCATTAAACTTACATTAGTGATAGCTTATACAATTCAGTTAGAACTTCATAATTATAAGATGTTTCAAGTTTAATTCCTCAGGCCATGCCTTTCTGTAAAATTATAATGCCTGGATTCTTATTCATTTATTTTCTTTTATTTATTTTTTTACAGTTACTGAACTACAGGAAGCAGAAGCTAGAGTCTCAGCAGAAGGAAATCCTAATACAAGAAAAAAAACACAATGCAAATATGCAGGCAGAAGTGGAGCTTGGGGAGAAGCTCAAGGAGCAAGTTTGGGAGCTGGAGAAGGAGCTGGAAGACTGCAAGCAGAGAGAAGAAAGGGTATATTTAGATTTAATGTTATGTGCTTGGAGAAGGTGATATTGCAGTAAGACAGTTTGTAAGATCTTTTGGATATAGTTCTTTTTTTATATCCATCGTAAGTAATGATTGTTCAGAATATCAAGATTCTTTCAGTTTTGAGTAATCTTGATGTTATTAATGCTGTATTTTTTTACAGACTAAAAACAGCCTTGCTAAGGCAACAGAAAAACAAATAAGAACAGAAGAACGTTTAGAGGTCACCTTAAGCCAAATCAGGTCTCAGCATCAGACATCTTCGATGGTTGTTTCCCTCATAGCCCACTTGAACAGTGCTGTGCTACAGGTATGGAAGTGTTCTTTGTACATGTTGTCCCATAGAGAAGAAAATTAACAAGTGCAGGTGTTTTCATGTTCTTGTTTATATCAAACCCAATTGCATTGGAGAATTGGAAGTGAACTGTGAATGAATCACCCAAGGTGCCTTGAATTAATCTTAGTTTCAAGTCTCTAATGTAGTTACTTTGATAAAGGTCAATTAAAAAAGTAAATAACATGACTATGAAATTTGTAGAATGAAAATGAAAGGAGCTAGTTATGATTAAGGTCACAAAATATAATTCTGCTGGGCTTATATTTTTTTTTTTCACCAGCTCAGGGATCTGGTAACTGTCTCCCAGCAAATTAGCCAAGGGACTCTCCCAGACCTTACAGTGTTATTGAACTTCAAAGGTCAGTTACTGTTATGCAGATTGCTATTTGTGTTCATGTTCATTGTCCTTGTTTCTTTAATATGTCCAGTGATTTAGTAGATTATAATCAAAGATATATGGTTGACACTTGTATTTCAGTGATTTATATTTCCTTTAGATAGTGGGGTAGCTCCCTCCCTCTTATTAGATGTTATTAGAGGATAAATAAACCAACCTAAACACACTATAGGATTATAATTGTAGCTACTTGAACAACATTTGTGTTATATTTTTTGATGAGTGAGATCTTTTGTGAAAGGTCAGAATAGAATGTTAGTGAAAGGATAATTTCCCTTTTTTTCTTGTGAATTCTCCCTTGTGTTTAGTTGTTCCACTAACCTTCAGAATATTGCAGATTTTACAGATATTTTATAAGTAATATTTACCAACACTTCATGTAGTTTCACACACACACACACACACACACACACACACACACACACACACACACACACACACATATATATATATATATATAATATATATATTGTTGGCTACTATTATACTTTCAAATGCTTTTAAATGAATACTTATTATTTATTATTTATCTTGTAATTATGCTGTATCATCAAGATTATCTTTCTCTTATTGCACACTGCTTTATTTTAATCTGCCAGATCCTGAAGTAGCAGACCAAGGGGGAATGCTTACTGCTGATGACCTGCAAGAAAAACTGGGTGAAGTTCGTGGCTTGATAAGTGAGCTGGACCGTATCAGGACAGCATTGCAGGAGGAACATGCAAATCAGTTGGCCTCTAACGTGTCATGTGCACAGATGTGATTAGACTATTTTATGTCAACTTGTTTGCAGGATTTTATAGAATGGATATGAATATATGTATATTTATTACCTATATGGGAATAAAATGTACGCAGTAGTTATTAAGTAAGCAGCAGGTAGGTTAATCATATTTATAAGTATTTATATTTATTGTTTTGTTTTGATTTTACATTTTAATCAATCCACATATCGTTTTTGTAACAAATGTGCATAATGTGAACACAATCTAATAACTGAATTTGCCAGCAAAAGAAATCTCAAAACTGTATCACTCACTACTGACATCTCTTATGTTACAAATATATTACAAAACTTGTTTATTACAAAACAATTTTGAATCATGAATCGTTATGGAGATGGAAATGCAAGGTGGATTTTCATCCTCTGATCAATTATTAAAAATATTCAAATACCATTGTTTCAAAGCTTGCTTTAGTGGTTTCTGAATGTTAACCTGTCTATTTTTTTTTTTTTTTTTTTTTTTTTTTTTTTTTTCATATTATTACATGTGATTTTTAAAAAATTATTTATTTATTTATTTATTTTTAGACAAATGACCTTGTAAACAATTATGGATAAAATAAAAATAACCACTCTATTCCTGATAGAAACTGCCACTAGTAATAAATACAATCTTGATGAAGAAAAAGACTACTGCATAGTCAGTATTTAAAAAAACAGGCTTCACCTGCCTTTTCAGTTATATATCCCAAATAGGACTGTACACTAGATATAGGATTTGTAAAGTTATTTATATGTTTATAGTCTTCCTCATATAATTGTACATTATGTTGCAAAGAAATAGTTTTGTTCTGAATACAGTATATTTTTAAATGACTGAGGAGCTGCCTCATTTTGAGCTGTGAAGTAGGTTGTTGTTTTTTTTTATGTTGAAAATAAAGTCATCATTTGCATAAGAATATCCATTCTTATCCATCGTTGCTGTTGTGAGCTGAAGAAACAGAGCCCAATGCTGGGGATCACCCCTACCTTGGGCCTCAGCCCTCAACAAGTCATTTTGCGGTCTTTTCTTCTTCCCCTTTGACAACTAGAGCGCTTCCTCTCCACAGCTGACCTTACTATTTTAAATTCAGATCGCCCCACACACTTTGATACACGCACGCAATCTTTTTCATGCATTGACCTCTCTCTATGCTCCCCTTCTCTTCATATAGATTTCCACTGGTCAGTCTTAGACCACTTTCCCTATAGTGACCACTTTCCAGTTCTCCTTTCTACTACTTCATACGTACCACTTCCTAACTCCCCACACTGGTGCTTTGATAGAGCCGACTGGCATACTTTCACTTCACTCTCTGCTATTCATACCCCTCCATCCTCCCTCACCTCCATTTCAGAAATGATATAATGTTTCACAAGTACAGTCTTAAGAGCTGCACATACAGCTATCCCTCGAACCTCAAGACCATATACCTCTAAATGTGTTCCATGGTGGAATTCTGGTTGCACTAAAGCACTTCGCTTAAAACGTGCAGCCTGGAACAGTTACTGCTACAAGAGAGAGACCCCCCCAATCCCTTGCCCGTTGTTGTCGTGGGGGGGCTTAGGAGGCGGAGACTGGGACCCAATGATGGGGAACTCCCCAACCTTGGGACTCAGCCCTCAACTCAACTAATTATGCATGGTCTTTTTTTTCCCTTCCCACTTTTGTTTCTGTCCCTTCACCAAACCCTTCTGCTATCCACCTCCTAAGGTGTGAGAGCCGTGCTGAAAGGATGAAAGGCTGACTTTGTGCCAGTCCTGAACGGCCTGAGGGAGCCATGGGCACGGTATTCCCCTGATTTAGTTATCTAGCCCTTACCCCTCAAGGGGACCCTGAGGGGTGGACTGCTTTTATCCCCAACATAATCCAGGCTTCCCATGGCCAGTAATGAAAATATATCCCCACTAGTTAGGGGCAATGAGGCTTGCCCCTTTATCAAATAGTCCCAACGAAGTAAACCCACCCGATTCCCCGACCCCAGGCTCTCCTTTGACCACGGCTCCAAACACTGCAATAACTACCCCTTCACCAATGCCTACTAGTACAGTAGCCAACAATCAACCCTCAAGGAACATTTCCACTCTCCCAGCATGCCCAACTTCAACACCTCTACCCCCACAACCTCCAACATCAACCACCCCATCCTCCCTTATTAATACCTTACAGCCTTATAGCCCACCTCTCCATAACACTACCTCCATCAACACTACTCCATCTTCGTCACGCCCTCGCCCTTCTACCACCCCTATCTCTAAAACAATCTTGAATACTCTCTTCAGTGCAGCCAAATGGGACCGATTTTTCGTGATCCCTCCCACAGCTCCCTACTCTGACAACACCCTTCTCTTCCAACAATGCCTCCAAAAACAAGTAGGTAAAGTCTCTTTCCGTAGCCGACCCGACCGCTCCCGTCTTGTAACAGTAACATCCGAAAACCAAGCCATAGCATTAACAACACTAACTGACCTATATGGTAACCCCATCCTAGCAGAACCCCATCACCCTCAATACTTGCACCGGAACAGTCTCAATCTCACCAACAAATTGCCCAATCTATGACAAAGATTGGTCAGATTGTGGAGAGATCTACTTGCCTGTCTCACAGACTACGATGCAACATCAGTACAATGCTATTCCATCCCCCCCAGAGGTCATCGAAAGAAACCCACTAACATAGCCAAAATTACCTTCCGTAGACATGACCTTCCCTTTAACGTCTACATAGGAGGAGAATCCCTCCCTGTTCGTCCATACCAACCTTCCTCCACGTCAGTGCCAAAATTGTTGGCGTCTAGGACACCCAGCCAAACACTGCCGTTCCACAGCCAGATGCCCATTATGTGCCCAACCTGGCCATACCCGATCTAACTGCTCTGCACAATCACGCACATGTGCCAACTGTGGCGGCCCCCATAATGTATTTTATAGGGGCTGTCCCACCTACAAATTTGAATCTGAGGTAGCAACTCTCAATTCAAACTCGGACTCACACTGCGTGAAGCCAGACAGGAAGCACGTCGACGTGTATTCTCTCTTACTCCTTACTCCAGTAATACTGCTCATTCTAACACTTCTCCTAAACCCACCCCTCCTACATCTAACCCTCCCACTAACCCCACCTACCTTCCCCAGTCTAACTCTTTTGCCATCCTAAATCCAGAAACTCCAATCTCTACTACAGATACTCCAATCACCACTACAACCCCAACACCTTCCCCTCTCCCTCCTCGCACTCCCCGTAACAGACAGAACAAACGTTCCACCCCCTCTTCCCCTACCACACAATCACCTCCACCATCCTTTGCCCCGTACTCTTGAGACACCAGTCCTCTCTTCCCCCCCTCACAAGAAATCCTTTATCCCCCAAAACTCTCTTGAGACACCAGCGTTCTCTTCCCCCCCTCACAAGAAATCCTTTATCCCACAAAACTCCTCAACCAACTCCATTGAAGAAACTGGAAAATATCCAAGACTTCTTAATGAAAACTGACCCCCATCAACCTTCAAATCCTACAACTCCTACTTCCTCCACACACCAAGTGACTGCCGATATCCATCCTCCTCCTAACGATATCCCCCCTACACCCTATCCTCCTACCCCCTCCCAACACAACCCATCCCCCCCAACTCCAACCCCACCCACATTAACCCTTTCCACACCCGTCTAACACACCCCTATCTGATGTCGCAATCCGATCCACCCCTATGCTCTTTATGTAATGTTCCTCTTTCAGTCTCACACATTCTATTATCATGCACACGTTTTGAAGCAGCCTGTAGCTCTGCTCCCCCCCCCCCCCCACTTATCCTCCCTTCGACAACCTGTTTTCCTCTCAAACACATAAATATCCCTCACTTAATCTAACCCCTTTACATTACCTCACCCGACCTTAACCCATTCACTCACCAATTCCTTTGCCCAGCTTTGTTAACTAATCACTAACTTAACCACCCTTTACTAACATTTACTATAGTGCTATATGACCTTAGATGTCTAGCACATTTATTTTTGCTTTTAACCATTAACCATTAACCAGTACTAATCCAACCATACCACACGACCCAAAACGCGAGTGTGCAACTAGGATCTCACTAGCTCTATAGACATTACCTATCAACTCATACTAGAGTAATGGTAGTGAGGTTTTACACACACTCCCCATGGGCACTCTCGGTGGAACTGGATTTAGCAATTCAAATCCTAAGTCGGATGTACTGAGGTATATTTATGAAAGTTGGAATATTTCAATGCCGCAGGAATATCGATACATAACAACCCTCCCTAACCAAGACTCGAAGGTTCCTCCGGTTATGAAACCGAGTCCTCATCAGGGAGGGTTGTTATTTATCGATATCAGTGCGGCAGTGCATTATTCCATCTTTCACACACACACACACATATGTGCGTGTATGTTCTTACTACTAGTTGTTTCAATAAGGAAGAAGAGCTAAGCTCAGATGTTCTCGTTGGCTATATTTAAATTATGAATTAAATCATATATATATTTTAAAATTATGCACATTTTGGCACACAACGTTATTTGGAAGACGGTTCTATGTTCCAATGGTACTGTTTGGGAACTGAATTGTTCACTTTCTTTTTACTTTAAACTTTTTGCTGTGTCCCCTCATCCTTCTTGTGTTCGAAATTACAGTCATCTTTGTCTAACTTCACCCTTCCTGTAATATAGTTAAACATCATTATCATGTCACCTCTATTTTCTGTATTTTTTCTTTTTGATTATCTGCTTGGTTTAATATTACGTCTCCTAACATGTACTGGTATAGTGGACGATTTTTACTTTCTCCGAACCTGACTACATGGCATTCATTGGTGTTAAATTCAATTTTCCATGTACAACTCTAAATGAATAAGTTCTCGGTGTCAATTTCGCGTCGTCTGAAAACATTCAGATAATTATCTGGGCTTATGTTTGACCCTAATCATTTATGAAAATAGTAAGCATAATCGGCGCAAAGACTGATCCTTCCTTTACTCCGCAAGTTACTCGTTGCCAAGTAAAGTGCTTCCCTCTAATTACGGTTCTTATCTGTCTTTCATGAACAAAAGTCTTTCAT